ATAAAATTGTTTCAGATAGGTAATTATTGACAATTTAGTAAGTCAGAGAAAGTAACGCTTAGTTCAGTTATATCTTGTCTAAGATATGCAAAAGAATAACAGATGGTAAATTACATGAAAAAGTACCTGACCAACTACAGCATAAAAGATGACTTAATGATATGTGAAATCAGATACCAGTGTTTGGGTGGTTATATAAATACAAGTAATCTGTGCCATTTTCACAGCAGGTGTTACGAAAGGAAGGAAACACCTTTAAGCTGAAGAATGTTAACAAAACAGCATCAATATTGGCTGATGGAAGGGCATGTAATTGAGTACATCAAGACACACTGATTTCCTGAATGGACACGACTTAGGTCAAAGAAGCTTCCTTTCATTTCGGCACCATTCATTCCTTACCAATTTATCATATTTAACTGCTAAAACCGTGAAACTATAATTTGACAAGAGTATGGGTAGTCTTCGGTTGTCTAAGCTTTGAATACAGGAGGTAACAGTGAATTTTATGGTATGATATTAACATTTTAAAAAATTTTAAACTTAAACTCTGTAATAACATATTCACAAAACTAGAGTTTAACAAACCAATTCCCTTCATAGCACCTTTTAATCGAGTCACTGCTTGATAGTGCAGGCCCACCAGCTGACATGCTTGCATGCTTTGTCAAATAACACAGTGAGCAGGTACCATGAAAATCAAGGTCACTTAGGCAAACTGCAATAAGAATATGGTTGTTCTGTGGCCTGACCCTGCTTTCCTTTTTTCACCTTCCTACTGGACAGTGAGATTACTAAGCCATGTTCACATGAACAGGGAAGAAAGGGAATAAGGAAAGGATGGCCCACTACACCACCATGAAAGTTCTGGCTGCTGACTGCCTTACCAAAGCTTCACTGATTTTCTAGGTACTGAGTTTTTTTTAAAGTTCTGCAAGTTTACAAAGTGTGTTGGAGTTGAATTTACAACCATCCATTGCACAACTACATTAAATAATAGTTTGTCTTCTTTTTCTATATTCTGAACCCCCAGGATTCTAGTTGCCAGGAACTGGTGACTAAAGAATGAGAAAAAAATGGATAACAAACATATGCCCTGAAATTAATAGACACTCAATAGAAATCTGTCTCGTGGTAGTGAGACAAATAGCATAACTTGCAAAAGATTTACGTACGTGTTGGTATGGTGTATAAGGCCCCATTCACACAGAGGTTTTTGCCGTGTGAATGGGGTGCCGTGTGACATTCGCGTTCTGGAATTCGCGTTCAGATTCCTGTGGCAGGAATCCCAGGTGTTCCCGTTCAGATGCGGCCGCTGTACCCATTCAAATTAATGACAGGGTGACAGAGGCCGCATCTATCAGCGGCCGACCGTACGTAATGGTACATGGTATCGTACATGGTTTCTGTTGCTCAACAATAACCTGCTGCACTTGGTGAAGTGACATGTACCCAGCCTTTTTAGATAGGTTTCACATTGCATTTTGTTGCAGAATTGTGACACAATGATTACATAGTTGGTAAGGTTGAAGAAAGACACAGGTCCATCCAGTACAACCTGTGTGTGTGTTTCTCTGTATTTAGTAGACTATTAGAACTTCTTATAATCTTCTATATGTAGTGAACTAAGAAACTCATCCAGAAGTTCCTGGAATTTATCAAGGCTAATACTACTGACTGTGGAAATGAATTCCACACTTTTACTACTCTGACAGTAAAAAAAACCCTTGCACAGTCTAAGATTAAACCTCCTCTCTTCTAACCTCTTGTTGTGGTCCTTGTGTCATCAATAGAGTTCTTGGTGTAAATATTTTGTTCCTAATATTGTGGTCCCCATTAATGATTTTTAAAATTACAATTAGGTCCCCGCTTAAGCGCCCCTTTTCTAAAGAGAATAAGTTTAATTTCTTGAGGCGTTCTACATAACTAAGGCCTTCCCATCCTCTTTATTAATTTCGTGGCTCTTCTCTGAGCTCTTTTGATTTGGTGGACGTCTCTCCTGAGGGTTGGTGACCAAAACTAAACCACATACTCAAGGTGAGGCTGAACTAGGGATTTATAAAGTTGTCAAATTATGCTTTGATCCCTCGATAGGGTCCCTCTTTTAATGCAGGATAGTATATTGCTTGGCATTGTATACTATTGCTGAATCTATTATTTATGAGAACCCCCAGGTCTTTCTCCATGTCCGACTTTCCTAATGGAGCACCCCCAAGGTAGTAGTTTGCACACACGTCATTTGCTCCCATGTGCATAACCTTGCATTTTTCTATATTAAATTGCATCTGCCATATTGTAGCCCATGTCTCATTTGTATTTGTACTTGTGAAACAATGTATTCCAACATGGAAGATGTCCACTTTCCTCATCATCATGGCAGTATTTCTTGTAAAAATTTTTGAAACAATAACGACAGACAGTTCTGGCTATGTACCCCTTGTATTACAGTTTTTCAAGTGCTGCTGGAAACTTTGCTGAAACTCAGTTGCTACCAATGCAGCAACAACAGAGCAGCATATTGCTGGTTCAGGCAGTGACATCATAGGCGGACTTAAACTATAATTTAGGAATTTTGTTGCTAGGGAAGTTTTCCTTAGCAGACATTTCCCAGTACTTTTATGAATTCTGCATGATGATGTGCTATTCAAACACCAAACTGGTACTGGCTCCACCCAATACCAGTGCATGTGATATTAAGGACAACAGGTTTTTAAGCTATTTTTCAATGCTGATTAAATCACTTACAATGAATGCTGTTCCTTGTGGTTTAAACGTTTTAGATTGCTGCAGAAGCACCTGGCCTACAGAGCCACCCTTGTGTGTGCTAGTAAGCCGTGTGTGTCTCCAAATCCACAAAGACATGGCAAGGCAATACCCCCACACACACACACTTCTCCCTTCCCCAAGCTAGTAGGTAGAACATATGTTGAAGATGGATCTGTCCCTTGTGATTAAAGAAATACTGTACTGGGCAATGCATATTTGATCTGGATTCATTACTGAAAAAAAGTTTGATAGACTTCAGATATGTTAGCAAGCACACATGCACTGACAGTGCAGAAGCTGGCTTTACAACTTAAGGGGCAGATAAAAATGCAGGTACAATCTAACAGCTAATAGAGGACGATTAATCAGCTAACTTTCAGAATGCTCAGATTGCCTAAGCATAAATTTGTGTTTAACTGCAGCAGGGAAGAGGTAGCTGTAACAGACTTACCCGTTCCTCGTTCCGGGATCAGCGCAGGCTTCCGCCGCGCCATCACGGTCGTCATCAGGTCCCTCCTCCTATATCGGTTTAAGCCGCAGGATTCAATTGCCCGGCTTTTGAGCAAGGGAGAAGACGCCGGGCAATACCGCTCCTACCCTGCACGCTGAACCTGCTATCACACCCCCCTCGGGCACTTGAAACCTCAAGGGAATACTCTGCCAAACTCTGCATATTCCCTATTACCAGGAACATGCTCCTTGCAGACCTACTGGACTGTCCTTACTGCTGGCCAGAGCTACCATTGCGGGGCAGCATCCCTGACAGCCTCTTGGGGACAAGCTGCACCTGAAAACAAGAGAGAGCATTCTCTTCCAAGGCCTTATATCAAGGCTACCTGGAGATAGATCCGAGTACCAGAGTGATTGTCTGGGGAACACTTCTAAACCGCAAGTACTAGTTATATCATCCAATATACAAATGGACTGTCTGTGAAAAACTCCCTACAATATAAGTACACGTTTTGCTGTTCTACTATCAAGTTGAATTCCTGTTAAATACTTCCCAACTGAAATTGCTTGTCTACCCAGATGTAGTATCAGAGTGAATAGTGAAGTGATACACTTCCCGCACTTCCATTCATTCAGCCTCTAGGGAAGGTGAACATAACTCTTTGCCTAAAGCAACCTGAATCACATTTTACCCTCTGTGTGCTCTAAATAACAAGGACTGATACGTGTAATTGCTCATATTAATGGGGAACCTCTCCACACCACATCTGAATTGTGAGTCATTGCACCCAGGAGTGCCCAGGGTGTTACAGTAGTTTGGTCAGAGACCTCTTGCCTGAGTAAGTTATAATTGGATAAGGTACTTTAGCATGTTTGATCTTTCTACTTGAGAAGAGCTGGATGGAGCTGTCTGCTGATGCCCACAGGCATGAGATTGTCACCCTGATATGTCATGAACTGCCGCAATCATATCTGTCAATTGCCAAGTTTTAGGTGAGCCTGGTTTGAAACTTCAACTGGCCTGCAAAAGATGCACACCACTTAAACAAGGTTTGCAGGTAAATATATGTAATAGAACTTTAGCAATTGTTCAGTGAATACAGATATGAAACAGCAGAGTTTTGTCATAAATCCGACATTTTTATTTAAAGAACACTTAAAACCTACTTTTACTACTTTAAGTCATCTTATTCTCTTAGAACACAATACCATTAACCATGAATTTTACTTTTAACAGGTTCAAGCAGGCCAATGCTTGCTGTTGACAGTTGTTGTGAAACACACAGCTTAATCTGTGTGAGGTAGAGACACCAATTGACTGTTCAGGCAGTAGCAGCCAATCAGTGCTCCATCCTCACAATGATCCTGCTCTATATCTCAGACCAGGAAACGACCAGGACGTATTGTCCCATTGGTATCTGGAGGAAGCCCAATCCTGATAAAAGGTAAGTATTTAAAGAATGCTAATTGTTACAGTACATTCGACTAGGAAGCACTACTAAAAGAAGGAATTATATACTTACTGGCTACTGAAAAATTAGCAATTAACATACTGAATCTCATGATTATGGGGTTTATTCAGTAAAGCAGTGGATAGCTAAAGTGCAAAGTACTGTAAACCACATACACAATTTTTTTTTTATTCAAGTCAGATTACAGAGGAAGTCTGTAAGCAATGGGCTCTGCTGGACTTTGTCATATTAAATGCATGTGTAGGTGTGGATCTACTGTATAACATGCACTGAAAATCTAAAATCTATGATGTAAATAAAGTCAACACTTACTCCTAGAGCTGGTAATCTCTGCGTACAGCTCACTGCAATTTTCAGCTTCCAGTCTGTTTCACCATCTAGCTGATCAGTGCGAATGAAGCAAGACCCTAAAAAGGTAATTAAAAAAAAAAAGAGTTCAATGCTTACAGTCTATCAGTCCTTAGATAATTTATTAGTCATCCAAGTATGTAAACACGTGTTCCCTTAATTAGCTGAATAGAAATTAATGGGTGAAAGCAGCTAATCACTGGGGAGAAAAAAATGTCTTACTTCTGATAACATATCAGGTGAATAACTAACTACTGCTATTTGCATCCCCAACATTATTTTAGATGTAATTGCTGCAATAGGGGTTGTGCATACAAAAACAACAGGGAAAAAAAAATCATTTGCAAAAGAAAATGAAAGAAACAGCAGTACACACATTTAGAAGAACCGTAAAACATATTTATTCAGATTTTGGTTTACTGTTCTTGTACTATATATTAAAAAAAATGCAAGCCATTTAAAGAAGAAGATAATGTGTTTCAAAAATTCAATTCATGAACTACACCTAAAGACCATATGACACATTGCTGATTGTAAAAGAAAGAAAGAGGAACAGTGACCACATATCTAATGTCTCTTGATATCGTCTTTTAACATGATATGTCATTTCATCCCGTATATCGGTGAACTAGATTGGCATTTTACATTAACTTCATTAGAGATGTCTGGCATCCTACGAAAAGGATCAACAGGCTATGAGCTGGGTAAACCCTGTTATTTTCACATGTCGCTTTACTTGACCTGAAGAGCACATAGTTGTAAGGTAATTAGCAACAATCTGACCACCAAATTAGTAAAAAATTGTATGGAATGGTATTTGTTTCAGAAAATGAGTCATTTCTCTTTAGTAGCACTTTTTTTTTTTTAACTGGACTGCGCAGGGACCAAAAAACAAACATCTGCCATTGTAATGCTCTGTTTGAAAATATTGGTTTAAACATGTTTTATGGCATTGATATGGATTAGATCTACCTACCCAATTCTCTTTCTAACCAATTACAAATAATAAGATTTTTGACTGTAAAATTATTTTCTTGGAGCTCACTAAGGGACATATGGCACAGGGCATTACACACCCTAGTATACCCCTCCCACTTATCATCCACAGTAGGAGTGGGTCATAAGAGCAGAGGTAGGACTGTGTCTCTTAATGAAAATTGTATACTTACCTATCCGTCATTTCCCTCTCCTGAGTCCAATACATGGCAGCATACAGAGGGGTTGATCCCCACCCAATTACAGGACCGGTTATACTATAAATGAAACCCGCCTCCCAAGGCCACCATTCTCATAACAATCAATGCGAAAGCCAAGGGAGGGTCCCGTATGCTGCCATATATTGGCGTCAGGAAAGGAAAATAACGGATAGGTATACAATTTTCTGTTTTCCTGACACCAACATGGTAGCATACAGATGAAACATAGCATGCCAAAACCAGGGAGGGTAATGCTGATATATTTATTTATTTGCACAATTGTTAAACACATTCAGAACCAAACTTTACCATGGTCAGGACTCCTGGATAGACCCTGGATTGGGACAGACACATGGACCAATTTACTGCCTTCCAAAATAACTCTGGAGATGTGCAGCTAAATTCTGTCCATAAGGATGAAATCCATCAGAGACTGATCTGTGGCTCCATCTGCTTGACCAGCCACAATGCATGTGACCTCGTGGACGCAGAGAGCCCCTTTCTGATATCGCCCGAAAGATGAACAGATCGACTTGACAGAAGAGGTAACCTCAATGTACTTTTTCAGCATGGCAGCCAAATTTAGGGCATGAGCTGCAACAATGAAATATTGGCAACAATGATGTCCTATTCAGTAGGAAGGATCTTGCAACCTTGGATGATGCTGGGAGAGAGATCTAGAATTACCCTGTCTGGGAAATGGTAGCCCTAAGGTGGTTTGCAGCCTAAACTTGACTTGGCAAGTAAGAGCCAAAACTGGCCTACAGGTGCTCCAGAGAAGGTAAAAACTTTCTTTAACTCGGATAGGGTGTCCTTATGCCTAACCAGTCAGATGACTGTTGCATCGATCATTGAGGTTAAGCTCAAGTAACAAACCTTGTCTTGAATGGGTATATACTCCTCCCAACCTATGGCCTTAACTGCCCTGAATTAGGGGACCTAAGGCCCATGGTAAGGGAATCCTTGACAGTGAATTATCACCGAAGATGTACACTGGCAATACTCTGTAAAGAAACTGCCTTTGGAGTAGAGGGGGACTTGTGGTGGGTGTAGTTGCTTGATTTGGTCGGTAATGACAGTTCATAAAGTACTTCACATTCTGTTTAAGGCCACAGATCTTCACCTTTCTCCCTCTTTATTTACTGATGCCCCTGCAGAGGAAACTTGGCACATCATCCTGCCAGATAATCGCAGGCCCAGCACTGGTAAAAGATTGTACAATCCTTATGGTGCATTCCACTAGCTGGACTCTGATATTATGATCTTGAATGTGTAGCAGCCTTATCAGAGCTTGAACAGGACCTTTCATCCCGGATGGAGCAGTTCACTCTGTCCTTGTGCAACAGTGCTGGAAATAGAGCCGGAGAGAATTATAATCCAGAAGCCATGCATGTGCATTCTGAGAAGCAGTGCTGTCAATAGGGCTGAAAAGATTTATAATTCATTAGGCCCATGCATGCGCGCTCTTTGCTGTCGCAGATAAGCTGAGGACTGATATGATAAAATATGATAAAATACCCAGTAGAACCTGCTGGATACTAACAACAATGCTGTATACATGGTAGCCACATAGTCACCTATGGGACAATGAAAGGGTTACAGCTCAACAGGACCTTGTCAGAACCTTCTAGACACCAACAATGCTGTACACATGGCAGCCACATATTCACCTATGGGGCAATGAAAGGGTTTTAGCAGAATAGAACCTGCCAGACACTAGCAACAACACTGTACATGTATACATTATCGCCGCTAGTGTCCAGCAGGCTCCGCCGTGCCACAACCTATACTCCCTTTGGGGCCCAGAAAGGGTTACAGTTCAACAGGCAGAATAAACCTGTACATTAACCAGTTGACATCCGCAGTGTTAAACCCCCTTCCTAAGCAACAATTCCATAAGTTTAATTTAAACATTAACAGCGCTGAGGAACCACAGGTGGCAGCAATATAGTCACATGAAAGGTACCAAAAGAGTTAAGGCACAAGATTCAAGTGTGGCTCAGGGTTAATTTTCAGTACCAAAAGCGGTAACCCAGAGCCACACTCGGGATAGCACAAAAGTGTCACTTACCTTGTCCCTGCGAGCCCGCGGTGTCCTCTGTGTGCGCCCGGGTGATGCCGGCATTTGGCTTTCAGTTTCGTTTTCGGGCGTCACAGCAGGGGACGGAGCCGGCGCGAAATTCAAAAGTGCAAACATGACATTTACACAGAATAAAATGTAATTTGCTATAATTACATATATGTATCAAACTATTTCACTTCAATTTTGTCCCTAGAGCTTTGTCCAGTGCACTGGCTACACTTTTACTGTTCTTTCTGCCGGGAAACTTGAGAACGTCCATGGCATCCAAAAAGCATCCCTTTAGGTCAAAAGCGGTTTTAGACCAGATAGAAAACAGCGATAGTAAATTAGAATCACTTGCAGAATTGAGTGATAGCGATTCGTTGGGAAATTCGTCATCAGACACTAAAAGTGACGACAGCGACGATTCTGCAACGGAGCTCAGTGATGTGCGAACTTGGTACTCTATTGACTGTGGTACGGATCAGGCAG